GAGACAAAAAGCTATATTTCCTTGTATCCATAAATGGCAGACAAGTAGCCATATATCTTACATTTACCTCGACCAGGCACCTCAATTACCAGATAACCTTTGGCCCCTGTTGCCCTATTCACCGCAAACCAGATGGCTAAAGCAGATGGTGCATGGTTTCTAATTTTTTTATCTTAAAGAGATCTTGAGTTCACCTTCTCACCCACCATAATAGGAATCTAACATAAGAATCTAACATTTCTTACTTTCTAAATCCTTTGCATAATCACATTTAAGCCAATATATTTCATACATAACATAGATAGATTTTTAGAAGGAAAGGCCTTTTCAAATTAAAGGAATTTAGTAAAAGCTAAGTTCTCTTAGTTCTGAAGCTTCAAAACAGTTTGGAGAGAAACCTTTTTTTTCTAACCAGCTGCTGTTCCTCTTGCAATTTAACCTTTAACCTTATGGCTCGAGTCTTCTGTTAAACAATAAATTTCACTATTTACCAGCTCTTAATTGTGCTTTTGCAGCTTGATTGTATTCTGGTCAGTGTGACCTTTTGCTCTCTGGCTCTAATTTCCTTTTACAACCTTGAAATACTTTTATTTATAGCAGTGGGGCCCCTTGAACAGCTGCCAGAGTATTCAGCTGATCTTCCCTGGCATGAGAGATAAAAATATCTACAAATATATTTTTTAAGCTCAAAGCAGATCTTGATCAGATGCCTCATTCCCCCCTTTCAAGCTCAAGGACCTTCATCCCAAGTGTCCTTGATAGCTTGACCTTCGTCATATTCCTGAGGTAAAGCTCTGTATAGGGCCATAATATGAGGTAAAGTTTCATTTGAAATCATCTTGCTAATTGTACTTCTAAAACATGAAATGATACATGGCACCGTACATAAAACCATTACTACTACCGTCAAGAAAAACAAGCAAGACAATAGTATCCCTTTGAGTCCCGCAACATTAGGTAACCAATTGGTGAGCCATCCCATATCCCATCCTTCCCATATTTGTACTGGGACATGTGCTATACTCTCCATCTTTGTGGCCAACACACGGATTGCCTCACCATTATCAGAAATGTTAAAGCAACAGGCATTCCCTGTCAAGTTTAAGACTCCACATAGGCCTCCCTGCCTGGCAAGTACATAATCCATTCCCATTTTCAGCTGCAAAATGGCGGCTCTACTTTCATCCAACTGTTGTGCAATAAGTCTCAAACTCTGGGCCGTTGCATTGGTTACAAGTTCCACTACTGCTTGCAATCGAATTATTCTGTTTAGATTATAAATAGGATCCCGTGCCCCTTGTATGAGCTCATCAGGATTCCAGGAGGCAGGCTCATAATAGGCTATAATGCGCTCTGGTGGCCAATCATCAGTATCACTCCAACTTTGGGTACTTCCTCCTGCTATATGAGAAATATCAGCATTTCTTCGTGTACGCTTTGCCGAACTAGTGGGCATAATCCACATTGGTGGTAATACCCATCCCAGGAAACAAGTCCCACTCCATTTGGGAGGGAGTTGCTTGTATGCCCATTCTCCACATATCCACCACAACCATCGGGTCTGAGGTTTTGGTACGTGGAGTGCATAAGGCGAAATATCAAAAGGGGCATAGAGTTCACAGTGCAGTATGTTAGATTGCCTTTTTCTGTCACAGTTATGTTCCACACCAGTTTCCATGCATGAATAAAAGGAGGTGCACAGGGCAAGGTATTCCGAGTTCGATAGGTAGTACCGTTTGCCCAGGTTTGACTATTCTTAATATAATCCCAAGTATAGTGGCAATGAGAAGAGCCTATCATGATAGAATCAGCTGCAGCTGATAATTTATGTACACAGAATTCCCCTTGCACAGGTATAACTCGTATTGGTTTAGTTGAGTTCCATCCGGGAAATTCTGTACTTCTGTTTGGTGTGGCATTTCGCTCACCATACCAATGGCATTTAATGGTATCGGTAATAAGGGCATACCTCCCTCTGAATCATCTGGTCCAAGAGAGCAAACAAGGCAATTGGTCCTATTTGTAACATTGGCTACCATCTCAGCTAAGCCTACCCACATATTGTGGTCATGGCGGAATCCATATTTAGCAAATTTGGTCAGATTCAAGGACCCTTCCCCTTCCCAAGGGATCAGGATTAATAATAAAATCATGTTGATGTCTAGTATATGCATTTCTTCCACAAAAGATTACCTTATTGTGATAACAAAAAAATATTAGGCCCAATATAATTCCCCCAATGACAGAAATGGGGAACCACCAAGACCAAAACATATATCCCGAGGATCCCCAATGAGTAATATCCCTGATAATTGTTCCACAAGGGGGCAGTCAATCAATTGTATAAGAGAATCTTCCTGTTCACAATCGCTGGTTCAGACGCTCCTCAAGCTTCAGGCGTGCGCAGGTCAGCCAGCTTCCAGGTTGTGGCTGCAGCAGGCCGGTCGTCTAATGTTGCCCGTGACCTAGCCCGTTCCCCGTAGGGCTAGATACAGGGGTTTTTGGAGAGAGTCAGTTTAAAAGGATTAGAGGGGTCACCTTTGCACGTCCAACTGCCTTCGGACTTCTTCAAACGGGAGTGATGAATCCAGGGAGTCACCTCAGCTACCTTCACCGCTGTTGGAGTAGAGAGCAAGACGGTGTAAGGCCCACGCCACTTAGGTGCAAGTGGATCACGTTTCCACTCTTTCACCCATACGCTATCGCCAGCCTGGAACTGATGAATCGGCTCGGCAATGCTGCACGGCGTGCGCTCGGGGCCCACCTGTTAAGAGAAACAAAAACACGGGAGAGAGATTGCACTTGTCCCTGTGTCACATGGTCTCCTATTTGTTTGAGGTCAGCTGGAATATCCTGAACAAAGGAGGGTGGCCTCCCATACAGGAGCTCAAAAGGTGACAACTTAAGTCTTTTTGTGGGTGCACACCGAACACGAAACAGTGTTATGGGTAACACATCTACCCATCCCAATCCTGTTTCCTGGGTTAATTTTGCCAATTGGGTTTTCAGAGTCCGATTCATTCTTTCAGTTTTCCCCGAACTTTGAGGCCTATATGCTGCATGCAGTCTCCATTTCACTTGTAGGACTCGACATACTTCTTGTACTACTTGATCAATGAACGCTGGCCCATTATCACTTCCAATGCATCTAGGTAATCCAAACCTCGGGATCAATTCAGTGAGGAGTCTCTTAGTTACCTCTCGTGCCTTTTCAGTCCTGGTGGGAAAAGCTTCAACCCATCCGGTAAGGGTATCTACAAACACAAGGAGGTACTTGAATCCCTTAGAAGGGACCAGCTCTGTGAAGTCCACAATTAGGCTTTCCATGGGGACGTATCCCACATGTTGGATTCCAGGAGGTTGTACCGGTCCCTGCCTGGGATTGTTTTTAGCACAAAGAACACATTTCTGTGAAATGCAAGTTGCTAATTGTGATAGGTTAATAATATACAACTTCCGACTGAGACTCTCTCTGGTTGCAGTACCGCCAAGGTGAGTAGATTCATGATAATTTCTTACAATTGTGCCTGCCAGGTGATGAGGTACATAAATCCTATTGTCCGGCAGGATCATCCAACCGTCCTTCACAACCGCTCCTTCCTGTTCAGCCCACTTCCTCTCTTCTGGGGTATAGTGAGGTTTAATTTCTTCTGGAACTACCTCTGGTATGAGGGCTGCTATAAATCCTCCCACAGGCTTCTGGGCTGCCTCTCGGGCTGCTTTGTCAGCAGCATGATTTCCTCTGGTTATTGGATCCCTTCCACGTCCATGACCTTTGCAGTGCATTACAGCAATCTGTTCTGGAGCCCATACTGCTTCCAACAGGATTTCTACTTCAGGTCCATATTTCAAGGCCTTCCCATGGGCTCCAATTAGACCTCTTTCTTTCCATAGAGCTCCATGTGCATGCAGGGTTAAGAAGGCATATTTAGAATCAGTATAGATGTTTGCCTTACATCCGGCTGCCAATTGCAGAGCTCTAGTTAAACCTATAAGTTCAGCCTTTTGTGCTGAGGTGCCAGCAGGCAACAGAAGAATGCATCTTTCAAGTCCAATACAGTAAAAAATGTTGCTTCTGGTGGGATCAAACTCAGCAAGGTATATGGGTTTGGTACATTTGGGTGCAAGGTCTCGATAGCCTGGTTTACGAGCCTCAAGTCCTGTACTGGCCTGTATTCATCTGTCCCAGGCTTCCGAACAGGCAAAAGGGGTGTGTTCCATTCTGATTGGCAGGGCTTAAGCAGACCATATTTTAATAGGCGGTCCAAATGTTTCTGGATGCCTTCTGCTGCTCGCCGGGGTAAAGGATATTGCTTTACAGATACAGGGGTAGCCATAGGTTTTAGGGTTACTACAATTGGAGCTATATTCTTAGCCATTCCTGGTGGGCTATTTTCGGCCCATACTCCTGGTGGCACTTGTAGGGTTCGGAGGAGCTTGTTTAATTCTGTATCCAATGTGGGTTGGACTTGCAGGGCTGACATTAGGCGCCATGATTGTTCCTTAGGTACTGAGAGGGAAATTATTCCTGCTGCCTTTGATGGCAGTTTCATTTCTGGACCTCGAGGAGTGAAGGTGATTTGGGCCTGCAATTTGGACAGCATATCTCTACCTAAGAGAGGCATTGGACACTCAGGTATATACAAAAACTGATGGGTTAAATGATGTCCCCCAATCTGGCATTCTAAAGGTTGGAGGAAAGACCTCTTAGCTGACTGACCAGTGGCACTTTTAATGACTACACTTTTGGATGCCTTTTTCTGCAAAAGTTCTGGGAGTACTGAGTATTCAGCGCCAGTATCTATCATAAAGTCTATTAAATGGCTCCCTAATTGAATTTTGACCGTGGGCTCCTGGAAGCCTAACTTTATGGAGTCCGGTCGTTCCTAGTCTTGGGTAAAATCCTCCTCTGCCAGTCCAATAAAATTGTCTCTACTCCGTCCTTGTCCAGGTCTCTGATATCTTCCATCTCGGATCATTCCCCGTCCCCGTCCCTGGTTTCTTGGGCCGGAGCCTGGGCCTGGGCCTGGGCGTACTTCTTCCAACCTCAGGGGTTCAGGACACTCCCGCTTCCAATGACCCTCCTTCTTGCAATTCGCACATTGATTCCTTCCCAGTGGTGGATTCCTTCCCCGCCCTCTCCCTCCATTTAAAGGGCGGTAGTCTTGCTTCACTGCTGTGGCTAGCATCACCATCTTTTCCTTCTGCCACTTCTTCTTCTCTTGTTTCTCAGCCTCATCCCTATTCCGATAAACTCGGCGTGCAATGGCCATAATTTGGCTCATCAGCATCCCTTCCCAGCCTTCTGACTTCTGAATTTTCTTACGAATGTCAGAAGCGCACTGAGCCACAAAAGTAGCAGTAATCATTCTGCTGTTTGCAGGGGCTTCAGGGTCAAAAGGAGTCCATATACGATAGGCTTCCTGCAGCCTCTCTAAAAAGTCTCCCGGACTCTCATTCGGTTTCTGTTCTACTTCTGAGACTTTAGTCATATTAGTGGGCTTCTGGCATGCCCTGCGGATACCTTGCACAAGCGTCTGGCGGTAGGTGGTAAGCCTGGCCAGGTGAATTGCATTGTTTGGATCCCAATTAGGATCCTCCAAGGGAAAATTGTCCTGGAGATGACGGTCAACATTAAGAATATTTCCCACTCTGGCCTGCTCACGCAAATATATCTGTGCCTTTTCAATTATGTCTCTTCTTTCCTCAGTGGTGAACAGAGTATTCAGGAGCTGGCGGCAATCTGTCCAAGTAGGACTATGAGTATTTACTATTGAAGTCACCAAGTCCATCATAGCCTGAGGTTTTTCTGCGAAAGATGGGGTGTGTGTTTTCCAATTCATCAGATCCGTAGTTGTGAATGGAATGTACTGGAGGGTCGAAGTTCGAGGTGGCCGTGGTCCGAGTTGCCCGTTAACCAGCACAGGCTCCTCAAGTGCATCAAATACTCTTCTGAGAGGGGCTACTACGTGACCTTTCTCTTCGCTTTGCTTTAGGGGCCTCAAATCATAGGGGATAGTATTTGTCCCAAGGCGTTCTTTTAACAGCTTTATACGCCTGGCTGTATTGCTTACTGACCGATCAAAGTCTCCCTGTAACTCCTGTAATAGTTCTCTAGGACTTGGATGTACAGGGGTTTGGGAGTGGGCAATCAGTTGTTCCACTGAAGGAGACTGTAGATGGAGTTCTACTGGGACTCACAGGTGGAATAACCACTTCTGCTTGGGCTTTATTATAGGACTCCAATGCCTCCTGAAGATATTTATCATAATCTATCAAGGAATCAAGCTCTGTGACTCCAGCCCCATTATTCCTTCCACTTTCTTGCCTTGGGGTTACAACTGGTGGAGTGTTTGGATTAGGCTCCCCTCGATGTGGAGCATAGGGTGGAGGTGGAAGCACCTCTTCCTCTGGTCCCTCAAAAATGGGTTTGAGTTTATTTGGCAAGATTCCTTTTCTAGCTTCGGCTTTTACTGCCAATAATTTGCATTGTTGGACTTTGCATTCCCTTATCCATGGAGGATTATTATTTAATGTGCTCAGCCAAGAATCTATATATGAAAATTGTTCTGGGCACCCTCCAGTTTCTTTGGTGATGTTAGACCAAAGTTTGCTTGCTAAATTTATATCAAAACTTCCCTGAGGTGGCCATCCAGTATTTTGTTTTGGCCAGTCTAATTCACATAACGTTCTCAAGCGCTCTGGCGTCATTTTGACTCCATATGCTCCTGAGAAGGCTTTCTTAAAATTATTTAACATACATTCAAGAGGTGTATTTTCCCCCTTTGAACCTCCAACTCCCATTGTATGGCCCTGTGAAGTATCCACTCAGTCACTCACACACACGCTTCGTGGGGATCCTTGCCTAGTGAAGTCGCCTTACTAGGAACCGAAGTACTACCCACTCCACACTCAGGTCAGCTACAGATTGTACTTTCTCACACATACAATGCGCTGGATACTTCACCACACTCTACCTCCCAATCTTTCCCTTTTCCCTCCACCAGACCACCATCTGATGTACCCAACCACCTAGCGTACTCAGTTCCCCCTTACTGAGACGCATAAGTTTGATCAAGACTTCTCTTCCTCCCAATTAATTGGAGGGCCACAACCCCTTTGTGCACTTACCCTTAGCTGGTTCCCTGTTTATTTCTCTGGTTACCCCCGGTCCGTCGCCGCCAGTGAGCAGGGTATCAGACAGACGAGACTTCTGCGTTCCCCTGGAAAAATGTTCCAGTGCGCGCTGGGTAAGCGGTCAGTGGTCCTCCCTCTTGTACCCTGCCCGCTAGAGGCGAAGGGGCTGCGTTCCAGCAGACCACTTATCCGAGTCACAGAGGCACCATAAAATGTAGCACCTTGCTTGTGGTTAACGCTTAGCTGGAATGAAATATTCAACGCAGCAATAGAGAAATTAAAATAATAATTTATTTGTCAGACAAATAAATGAGAGACACAGTGGCATATGGATACCAAAGCTCTGCCTACTCCAGCCCTGATGGCCAGCACTTATATTTCCTCAGCCCAGCCCCCTTGCTCCTCCTTTGGCTGCCTCTGTCCAATCAGCCTGGTTGAAATTCCTATTGGCTGTTTGCTAGAACCAATCATAAAAGATACACCCATTTCCTATTCCCTTTTATGGGAGACAAAAAGCTATATTTCCTTGTATCCATAAATGGCAGACAAGTAGCCATATATCTTACATTTACCTCGACCAGGCACCTCAATTACCAGATAACCTTTGGCCCCTGTTGCCCTATTCACCGCAAACCAGATGGCTAAAGCAGATGGTGCATGGTTTCTAATTTTTTTATCTTAAAGAGATCTTGAGTTCACCTTCTCACCCACCATAATAGGAATCTAACATAAGAATCTAACATTTCTTACTTTCTAAATCCTTTGCATAATCACATTTAAGCCAATATATTTCATACATAACATAGATAGATTTTTAGAAGGAAAGGCCTTTTCAAATTAAAGGAATTTAGTAAAAGCTAAGTTCTCTTAGTTCTGAAGCTTCAAAACAGTTTGGAGAGAAACCTTTTTTTTTTTCTAACCAGCTGCTGTTCCTCTTGCAATTTAACCTTTAACCTTATGGCTCGAGTCTTCTGTTAAACAATAAATTTCACTATTTACCAGCTCTTAATTGTGCTTTTGCAGCTTGATTGTATTCTGGTCAGTGTGACCTTTTGCTCTCTGGCTCTAATTTCCTTTTACAACCTTGAAATACTTTTATTTATAGCAGTGGGGCCCCTTGAACAGCTGCCAGAGTATTCAGCTGATCTTCCCTGGCATGAGAGATAAAAATATTTACAAATATATTTTTTAAGCTCAAAGCGGATTTTGATCAGATGCCTCAGTTGTGGTGTCTCAAATACAAATTTCCGTGGATTTCTGTAATAAAGATTTATAATCCTACCACTTAGGAGAAATTTCTATGCCATGAAATTAAATCATCTGCTATTGAAGTGGGCCAAAGAGACTAATACTTCAGGAACTGAGCGAATTCATTTTCAAAATGGCAATTCTGCAAAATGCCTGCATTTTTAGGAATGGGGGAGATGTTCAATTCAAGAAGAAGGAGGATGGGGACAAAAGTAGAAAAAGAGCTGCTTCATTTTGTGGCTTCATGAGTATGTCAGCAGTCTCATTTTGTTTCTAGAATATGAGCAGAGGATTTTTTTCTTTTAAATACAATTTCAAAGTGAACAGAGGCAGACTTCCTTGTGCGTGAAGCTTCCATGGGTTTTCAAGGTAATCCTGCTTCCAATCATAACGAAGGAGATGAATAAATCCACTTTGTCTCAATTTTGGAATACCTGTTTCTTCCCCCCCAGCTAGAGCTAAAAATATTTTCTCATTATGAAGTTATTGTTCTTTAAATAGGCCATGGGTTGTTGTCTGCTTTCCAAAGAAGAGGAATACTTATGGTATATAGTATGGAGTTTATTTCCCCACAGTCTTCATTGGTGCTGTCCAATTCCCAGTTCCATTATGCGGCTTTAATCCTACTTTATGTAGGTTTATGAATGTCCTCATGGAATGGGACATGGAAGAAGAAAACATTTATATATATGAGGAAAACACACAGGCTTGTTCTCTGCTATCATTTGTGTGACAGGTCTAAATTTCCATTTTCATAGAGCCTGCAGGCAACAGGGTGGCAGCTCATGGGATCTCCTGAGAAGGAGAAGGGGTTGAGACATTTGAAGAACTATCCCTTATGGGGATAGGGTTGTTTCCCTACAAATTTCCCACCCAACTCTGAGGTATTTTCCTCCAAACTCAATTAGCTCTTGGTTGTTGCTTGTGTGTCAAGACCCCGAGGCCTCCATGGAAGCTGGAACAAGAGGGAACTCCCCTTGGCTGTGTGGCTGTTTTAAAGGGGATAAGCCATGGCCCCAGGTCGCTGGATTGGCTGGCCCGGGGCCATGACATGGGGCCACATGGTCTGACCACAACGCCATCACACCCGGAAGTGGAATGCCTTTTTCTTTGCCTTTGTCATCTCCCCCAAATAAAATATTTGAGGGGGCTGCCACCCCAAAGCTGATGGACGTCACCATTCAATTAGTGTGCGTGCTGTTACGGCTTAAAATTAGCCGCTGTTTCTTTAATACAAAAGGAACTGTGTCAGCATGAGTCAGCGGTCAACAATAAATCAGCAAAGACTGCATGACTCATGCAACCTTTCACCTACAAATGCCTATATATATATATTGTGTGTGGTTGTGGGTTGGTTGGTTGGATGGTAGAGAGTTGGCTGAGTTTGGTGTGTGTAAAAGCTGTCGGTCGTGGTTGGAGAAGATGACTTTGTAAGAATAAAAGCAGCTATACTCTGCAAGAATACTCTTTCTCAAAGACTCTCTTGTGCCAACTAGGGTCCGAGGATTTAGGCAAAGGAGTAAAAAGGAGGTCAGAACCTTTTCTTTTCAAACACTGACACTTGCAACATGTTATGTGAATGATTATGTGGGGCAGAGCTTACCTCCCCCCAAAATATTTTATTCAACTTGGCAGCATGCCCACAAAATTCCCAGACAACGCTGAGTTATTTGTAATGGTTTTTTTCTTCCCAACCTTCCACATTTTATGGTGCAATTTTTATTTGAAGAGTAAAATGCCCCACCCCCACCCACAAAAAAGGGTTATGTTTCTCAGGGATATGGATCAAAGTTGGGTGTTGGCGCAGGAGTGAGGGGCAAGCCTTAAAGAAACCCACAGAGAACAGGTGCTATGCTGAAGCTAAGTTTAATGCATAATGTTCATTCCAGAAACAAAGGAAGAATTGCCTTTCAGGCATTGCAGTAAGGTAATTCAGACATTGATCTTGATGACACAGGTAATATATACACATTAAGAGTTGTATTGTGTTTCTATGGCATTCAAGCGCAATACAAGTTGGATGCATTCAAACATTTGTGCCTCAACTGGAGATACATTCCACAGCAAAAGCGAAGAAGAAGAAGAAGAAAGAAGAAGAAGAAGAAAGAAGAAGAAAGAAGAAGAAGAAAGACATAGTGTATAGAAGTTGGGATCAACACATTCTATAAAGCAGCTGCACATTTGTAAGGCAAGCATGGATGAGCCAAGCATCTGGGAATCCTGCAAACTTGGTGGTTGAACTGGGGACGCTTGCCACTTCTGGCACCAAGGCCCATGAGATAATCAGTCGTGAAGCCATGCTGAGTTCATCAGTTGCTGGTGAGGGCATTCTGCTGGTCTGAGTGCTCCCTTTAATAGCATGAATAGCATCCAGAGTAGCCGTATCCCAGGCCTCCTCCCACAGACGATGTGCCACCACAGGCGGTGTATCCTCCCACACGAACTGGCTCACACGTGGCAGCGAGTATTGCTCCTGGGATAGTCACACAATATGGAGGTGGCTTGATGCATACTTCCGATGGTGGTAACTGAGTCATGCAACCAACACTGGCAGCAGGATTTATAGCGAGGCTACTTGATGACACTCCACCACCACTTGAACCCCCAAAGCCCCCACTTCCCCCCAAACCCCCAAAGCCACAACTTGGTTTCAGCGAGCCCAGACCGCCAGCTGGGTAACAGCAGGAGGAATTGTAGCCACAGTTCATTTTGGAGTGATGGGTCCTGGATCTGAAATGATGATGAGCAAACATTCATCCAATTTATTCATGATTCATGCATCCAATTTATAACAAAACAACAACCATAACAACAAGCCCTACCACCACCAGTGAAGAAGAAGGAGAGGAAGAAGAGGAGATTATAACACAATCTGCAAGTCCGTTAAAAAAATCCCCTATCATTAAAAATCCCAAGCCAGCTATAGTGCATCAGTCCAGCATTGGAGGCCTCTTGGTGGTGTCACCAACGGGTTTGTCTCCCTTGCGACCTCATGAGATGGTCTTCTTCCAGGCAGCTCCCCCCTTTTGGAACACATTCCACACTGATGTGTGTGTATCTCCTTATGATAGATAGACTTTGAGAAAAGATGTAAATGCATTCTTGTTTACCCTTGTCTGTTCCTGCGAACCCTGAAATTATTACATTTTCATGCTTTTCTTTTATGTTTCTAGGAGTTGAAGGTTGTCCAGACCCCTCAGAATAAACTTTGAAGGGTGTGAGAGCACAGGAAAACTCAAGGAAATGTAAGATATTAATTCTGTTATATATTTGTGTCCTTCCCTTTCTTGTACACAAACCCTTTCTCTGGATGGGACCATTTTATGTTGTGTTTACCATATGTTGTTGATTGTTAAAAATTAATACTCTAAAAATATTAAATAAATATCTGACCATTGATAGCCCAATGCCTTCAGTGGTCGCATATTCCATGCTACTGTTCATCTTCATGTTTGGTTGGAATCTCATAATACTTAAAAAATACAGTTTCTTGTAATATTAACTTTTTGCTTCAACTCCCTGGCCCTTGGCCAAATTGGCTGAGCTTGATGCTACTTGGAATGCAACAACTTCATGGCAGCCACAGGTTCCTCACCCTTTCTCCAGCAACAGAAAGCAGATATGTTCCATCATCCATGCCACATCCCTTACGATATTTGGCAATGGAAGGTGTGTGGCTTCATAATCACCTCTTCCTTCCTCACCCCCTTTCCCTTTTATGCTGTGCTTTTTCAGTTGCAAAGCTAAACTTGCACCAAGAAGCTACCCCCTTTGTGTTTCATTTTGTTTTCATTTCTGATTTTTTGCAACATGTTCTAGGAGCCCTGCCAAATACACTTTGGGGAAAGAAATGCCTGGCATCTCAAGGTAAGGCAGGAAAGGGGCCCTGCTGAAAATCGGGAGAGCCCCCAGCACCAGTCTGTGTGGACTAGGAATAGGGTGGGGGTATCTGTGAGCCTCCAGGTGTTGCTGGACTCCAACACCCATCAGGCCCAGCTGGCACAGGCAATGGCCAGGAAGAATGGGAGTTGTAGTCCAGCAACTCTGGGAGGACCATTGATATTCCACGTCCCTCCTGTAGACACGACTGAACTAGGTGGAGGATTGCTCTGACTCCATACGAAAGGAGTCTTCAGTCATAGCCAAAGTGCCCATAGGAAATGAGAAAGAAGATGAGCAAGGAGAGGCAGGTCTGGGTTCAAAGAAGGAGACAGAGAGAGTGAAGTTTGGAAAGGAAGAGGCAGCAAAAGGCATGGAGTTCTCTCACTTACCAAGGTCTCAAGAGAAGTACTCAGGTGAAGGTGAGAGGAGCTGTTGTTAGAATCGTGGGCAGCAAGTCCTTTTATACGATTCCAAGACTGCAAGTCCCTCCCTTGTAGACGAAAACTGCCTTCAGGTGTCCTACCCTCAAAGGCCCTGACTAATTATTGGAAGCGGACTTCATCCTGAGCCGCCCTGTATTCATTAGCATGTGTTTTATCCAATTCCATTCCCCTTTCATTACCCTCCTATTCACTCCTTTTGATGATTAATTATGATACTTTTTACAATTGGTGTTGCCCCTGCTTCATAAAGAATGTGTGCATGTCAGGGTTACAAGCCCCCAGTCCACTCAGTTCTAGAGATTGGTGTAAAGCCCATCTTCCCAGGCATGGGTGGTTTCGTCTGTTTCATAGAAGACCTTTTAAAGTTCCCTTAAAAAAAAGTCTTAGAAATTGAATTCAGGGGACATCAGGAACTCAGGCCATGGGTCCATCTGGCTAATAGTATCCTCCACTTTCCAGCTGAGGAGTGGAGAGTTCAATCCTGCTTGGGGGTCCGCTTGCAGAGTGCCTCCCCTGTGTCTTCCTGCCTGATGGCTTGCCCAGGGTGCTCCAGGGCTATGTCCTCCTGATGGAAGGCACTCTGTGCTACTGAGGTCACCTGAGCCTCAAGATACAGAAATGGATCCAGAATTGCCCCCAAACTACATTACCACTCCTTCAGAGGGAGTATAAGACGATCAAGTACAGGCATCCATCCATCCAGTCTATGAAGCCACCCATTAACCATTCCTCAGTATTATCCGCATGGACCTCCACTTGCATTCAAACCATCTCCCAGCTTGTTTCATTGTCCTATGTTCTGGTCAGTGAGCAGCAAACTTTTTCAGTGGGGGGCCGGCCCATTGTCCCTCAGACCTTGTGGGGGCCTAGACTATATTTTTTGGGGGGAAATGAACAAATTCCTATGCCCCACAAATAACCCAGAGATGTGTATTAAATAAAACACGCATTCTACTCATGTAAAAACACACTGATTCCCAGACTGTTCACGGGCCGCATTTAGAAGGCGATTGGGCTGGATCCATCCCCTGTGCCTTAGTTTGCCTACCCATGCTCTGGTGTATAACAGAGACCCAAGCAGGCTTCACAAAGCAGGAGAGGGTGCTCAGGAGTGAATGTGTCAATGGCCTGGACCATTCAAATGTTCCACAAGTTGGCCAGGACTTGACAGGAGCGCCAGTCAAGGCTTGACCAATGGAGAAGGCTTACAGTCCAACAACATCTGGAGGGCACTATGTTGCACACCTTTGTTCTACACAGATTGAGAAGCAGCTGGTTTCCGCTATGGTTTCCGCTAGGATCCAATTCTCAGTCCTTCTTGGAGGTGTTTGGCAATTGAACCCAAGACCTTCTGTGTCTGATGCACTTTTTTTCTTTTCTTTTCTTGATGGTGTTTTTATCCGGTTTTATTGATGTCACGGTTTTGGATTTTTTTAGCAGCAGCTTCAAGTTCCAAACCTATTGCAGAGAGAGAACACCGTCCAGCCCCCTCCCCTCCCCCACTCGTGCAGGGCGGGTTGGTACCCAAGCAATTGGGGGGAGGAAGTATTTGGCTTCTCAAAAAAGGGGGGGGGCAGAGGTTTAGGAAGCAGGGCTGTTTTTCCTGTTTTGTTCCCCTCCCCACTTTCATTCCACACACTTTTTATATTATTAAAATAAACAAATATCCCCCTCCCCGCAAAAAAAACCAACCCAACCATAAACAGGACAGTATCTCAATAAACAGAGGATGTACAAAGACAAAACCACGAATGGATGGATGTTTGGGTGGGTGGGGGCAAAGAAGGAGGGCAAGGGCGGGGGAAACAGAACAGCTTTTGACATTCCAAAGAAGAAGTAATTTTTTTGGGGGGGGGGAGAAGCAGGGAGAAAGAGTGACACGAGCAGGACTTTGATAAGACATAGCTAGGACGGTGCACTTTTTTTAAACCACTGATCCACAGCCCTTCTCTGTGTCAGAAGCCTTCTAATGTAAGCAGCAGTAGAGGTTTGGGATGCACAGCTGTGGTGCCCCTGACAGTCTCTCCAGTTTGCAAAGGTGCTCCTGGTTCACAACTCACCATGGCAAAAGAATATACCTGACAGCAATTCCATCTATGGCTTGTGAAGGAAACATAGGCCTAGCTGGGAAAGACTACCCAACACCCTCCAATAGGAAAATTGGGGTGTGTGGCCCACCAAAACGTGTGTCTTCAGCAGGAGCCAAACCAGGGCATCCCAGGATCCAGTCAGAAACCAAGGTAATTCTGGGAAGTCCTGCTCAATGCCCTGGGGGTGGTTGCGAGGTCTGCTCCCCAGTCCTGCTCAAAGCCCCGGACAGACATATTCACTTACAAAGTGGTTGGTTTGTTTTGACACAAATTAGCTGCCAACCTGACTATTATATGGAAGTCTGAGGTGGTACGTGTGACTATCCACGGGTGTCCACACCTGCTGTTTTTCATTTATTAAGTCCAGCCTTAATAATTCCCACAATAGTCAATGAGCAATACATCCATAAAGATCTGAGCATCTTGTCCCACCTACTTGTTTTGACTGCATATGGCTACCCTGTAATATTGAAGAAATCAAAGCAGCACTGCTGGACCATTTAGCAGCTCAGACTGCTTATGTCTGAGTATTTTTACTTAATTTTATGGCCTCCCCAAAGCAAAGAGACAGGATGCAAAGTGCTAAAGATGGATCATTCATGCTCCAAACCTTGTTCCTCCATCAAAGTTGGCTTTCAGAATGAGTTTAAGTTGCTGGGCGGGATAACTCTTCCCTCTCTTGCTTTTACATTGTGCTTTTCTTTTTCTATGACATTTGTTTCAAGCTTCCTGGACTGTCTCTCTATATAGAGACAAGAAATACACACAAACACATACACTCACACACCTGGGCAATGATGTCCTTGTGTGTGTGTTGTGTAGGGCTAGAGCCTAGGAGATTCATGTCCAAATCCTCACTCTTCCATTAAACTCACCGCATGACCTTGGGCCAGTCAATATCGCTCATCCCAAGCCACTTGGTAGTGCTGTCATGATGATTAAATAGGGGAGGTGGGACCATGTATACCCGACCCTTTGCTCATTGGAGGGAAAGGTCGATTGAATTCCAAAGGCAGATTGAATGCTACCAGAATTCCAAAAAATCGGCTAAATATCAAGTGCTGGGTGGCATGAGATGTTATACAGCCTATTGTAAAGTTTGGAGCACCCATCATTTCACATTTGTAGTGTTGTGCCCATAGCACCACCGTGCTCCAACTCACTTCCAACTACATTTTGGATAGGATATTGACTGTGGAAAGGCATTCTGCCCCTCTTTCGGTGATCCTTGACAGTGACTTACCAATCCTACCATTCCTGGTTTGGAAAACCTATCTGATAGTTTGTGACTCCATGCACATATGCGGCCTAGGACCCACGTACCTATGGGACCGCCTCTCCTGGTATGCCCCACGGAGGACCTTAAGGTCCACAAATGACAACATTTTGGAGGTCCCAGGTCGCAAGGTGTTTAGATTGGTCGCAACTAGGGCCAGAGCCTTTTCAGTACTGGCCCCGACTTGGTGGAATGCTCTGTCACAAGAGACTAGGGCTCTGCGGGACTTGACATCTTTCCGCAGGGCCTGCAAGATAGAGCTGTTCTGCCTGGCCTTTGGTTTGGACTCAGTCTGACCCTTATGTTTTCCCTCCCCTTATGGTTTTGATCTATGGGCTACTTTTAAAATGAGGCTGCATTTTAAATTGCATTTTAACCTGTATTTTAAATTGGTTTTTTCCCCCTATTATGATTTTACTGTCACTTTACTGGTTAGCCACCCTGAGCCTGGCTCTGGCTGGGGAGGGCGGGGCATAAATAAAATTTATTATTATTAGTCTTCTGTTTATGAATTTTGATACAGTAAAGGTAAAGGTAAAGGTACCCCTGCCCGTATGGGCCAGTCGTGTCCGACTCTGGGGTTGCGTGCTCATCTCGCTCTAGAGGCCGTGAGCCGGCGCCGTCCGAAGACACATCCGGCTCACGTGGCCAGCGTGATGAAGCTGCAGCTGGCGAGCCAGCACAGCACACGGAAACGCCGTTTACCTTCGCGCTATAAAGCGGTACCTATTTATCTACTTGCACTTAAGAGTGCTTTCGAACTGCTAGGTGGGCAGGAGCTGGGACCGAACTATACCGCCGCAGGTATAGTGTTATAAAAATATTGTCAGTACAGTGGTACCTCGGGTTAAAGATGCTTCAGGTTACAGATGCTTCAGGTTACAGACTCTGCAAACCCAGAAATAGTACCTCAGGTACTGGCCCCGACTTGGTGGGACGCTCTGTCACAAGAGACTAGGGCCCTGCGGGACTTGACATCTTTCCGCAGGGCCTGCAAGACAGAGCTGTTCTGCCTGGCCTTTGGTTTGGACTCAGTGTGACCCTTATGTCTTCCCTCCCCTTTACTGTCATTTTACTGGTTAGCTGCCCTGAGCCTGGCTCTGGCTGGGGAGGGCGGGGTACAAATAAATTTTTTTATTATTCGTCTTCTGTTTATGAATTTTGATACAGTATAGTGTTATAAAAAATATTGTCAGTACAGTGGTACCTCGGGTTAAAGATGCTTCAGGTTAAAGATGCTTCAGGTTACAGACTCTGCTAACCCAGAAATAGTACTTCGGGTTAAGAACTTTGCTTCAGGATGAGAACAGAAATTGCGTGGCGGTGTCGCGGTAGCAGCAGGAGGCATCATTAGCTAAAGTGGTACCTCAGGTTAAGAACAGTTTCAGGTTAAGAATGGACCTCCAGAACGAATTAATTTCTTAACCCGAGATACCGCTGTATATTATTAGCCAATATGTTGCTTGTTGATGTTCGGAGTCAGTTCTCCAGTGGGCTTCCCATAGGCATCTGGCTGGAGGAACAGGAAGCTGGATTAGATGCTGAGGCTGTTCACTGGATTCACTCAGAGTTCAAACCTTCCCTGAATTGAGCCCATTTGGGAGGATCATGGTTGAGTTGGGAGGACACAGCCCTGGAACACCCTGGGTGAGCCCACCCAGAAAGATCAGGGGCTATAAAGGAGTTGAACATCAGGCAGGAAGACACAGGGAATGCCCGTTGGAAGTTGACCCTCAAGCAGGATTGAATCCTCCACTCTCAAGCAGTAAAGTGGAGGATTCAATACTGTGGGCTGCTCCTTTGCAAGGGCACTGCTGCTCATAATGCATTGTAGAGGAAGTTGCAGGGTGAAAGTGTAGGCAATATTGAGCTAGATGCACCAATGGCTGACTTTGCTTAAGAAAGCTCCCTTTGAGACAGATGTCCACTGAATTCAATTTGGAGGGCTTTGTTTAAAGCAAACATATGTAGGGATTATAAGGGAAGTTAAAAAAAGGCTTTTTAAAACAGATAAACCCATCCCAGCGTGGGAAGATGGGGTTTACACAAATCTCTAGAATTCAGTGGAAAGGGGGCTTGAAGCCTTGACAAGCATGCATTCTTTACGAAGCAGGGGGCGACACCAATTGTAAAACGTATCATAATTAATCATCAAAAGGAGTAAATAGGAGGATAATGAAAGGGGAATGGAATTGGATAAAACACATGCTAATGAATACAGGGTGGCTCAGGATGAAGTCCGCTTCCAATAATTAGTCAGGGCCTTTGAGGGTAGGACACCTGAAGGCAGTTTTCGTCTACAAGGGAGGGACTTGCAGTCCTGGAATCTTATAAAAGGACTTGCTGTCCACGATTCTAACAACAGCTCCTCTCACCTTCACCTGAGTACTTCTCCTGAGACCTTGGTAAGTGAGAGAACTCCATGCCGTTTGCTGCCTATTCCTTTCCAAACTTCACTCTCTCTGTCTCCTTCTTTGAACCCAGACCTGCCTCTCCTTGCTCATCTTCTTTCTCATTTCCTACAGCACTTTGGCTATGTATGAAGACTCCTTTCGTATGGAGTCAGAGCTATCCTCCACCTAGTTCAGTCGTGTCTACAGGAGGGATGTGGAATATCAATGGTCCTCCCAGAGTTGCTGGACTACAACTCCCATCATTCCTGGCCATTGCCTGTGCCAGCAGGGCCTGATGGGTCTTGGAGTCCAACAACACGTGGAGGCTCACAGATGCCCCCACCCTATTCCTGGTCCACACGGACTGGTGCTGGGGGCTCTCCAGATTTTTAGCAGGGCCCCTTTAAGCCTTAACTTGCTTCTTGGTGTAAGTTTAGCTTTGGAACTGAAAAAGCATAACATAAAAGGGAAGAGTGTAAGGAAGGAAGAGGTTATTACGAGGCCATATACCTTCCATTGCAAAACATCTTAAGGGCTGTGGCATGGATGACAGAACATACCTGCTTTCTGTTGCTGGAAAAAGGATGTGAAACCTGTGGCTGCCAGGGGCTGTTGCATTCCAAATAGCATCAAGCTCAGCCAATTTGACCAAGGGATGATGGGAGTTGGAGGAAAAGTTAATATTGGATTTTTTGGGTATTATGAGATTCCAACTAAACATGAATATGAATATGTGACCACTGAAGGCATTGGGCTATCAATGGTCAGATATTTATTTAATATTTTTGTAGTGGGCTGGGTGTTCATCAGTATGCAGATGACACCCAGCTCTACCTCTCCTTTAAATCAGAACCAGTGAAGGCGGTGAAGGTCCTGTGTGAGTGCCTGGAGGCGGTTGGAGGATGGATGGCAGCTAACAGATTGAGGTTGAATCCTGACAAGACAGAAGTACTGTTTTGGGGGGACAGGGGGCGGGCGGGTGTGGGGGATTCCCTGGTCCTGAATGGGGTAACTGTGCCCCTGAAGGACCAGGTGCGCAGCCTGGGAGTCATTTTGGACTCACAGCTGTCCATGGAGGCACAGGTTAATTCTGTGTCCAGGGCAGCTGTCTAGCAGCTCCACCTGGTACGCAGGCTAAGACCCTACCTGCCCGCAGACTGTCTTGCCAGAGTGGTGCATGCTCTAGTTATCTCCCGCTTGGACTACTGCAATGCACTCTATGTGGGGCTACCTTTGAAGGTGACCCGGAAACTGCAATTAATCCAGAATGCGGCAGCTAGACTGGTGACTGGGAGTGGCCGTCGGGACCACATAACACCGGTTCTGAGAGATCTGCATTGGCTCCCAGTACGTTTCCGAGCACAATTCAAAGTGTTGGTGCTGACCTTTAAAGCCCTAAACGGCCTCGGTCCTGTATACCTGAAGGAGTGTCTCCACCCCCATCGTTCAGCCCGGACACTGAGATCCAGCGCCGAGATCCTTCTGGCGGTTCCCTCATTGCAAGAAGTAAGGTTACAGGGAACCAGACAGAGGGCCTTCTCGGTAGTGGCGCCTGCCCTGTGGAACGCCCTCCCAGCAGATGTCAAGGCAATAAACAACTATTTTACTTTTTAAAAGACAACTGAAGGCAGCCCTCTTTAGGGAAGTTTTTAATGTCTGATGCTGTACTGTTTTTAATATTCAGTTGGAAGCCGCCCAGAGTGGCTGGGGAAACCCAGCCAGATGGGCGGGGTATAAATAATAAATTATTATTATTATTATTATTATTATTATTATTAATCTTAACAATCAACAATGTATGATAAACACAACATAAAATGGTATCATCCAGAAAAAGGGTTTGTGTTCGAGAAAGGGAGGGACACAAATATATAACAGAATTAATATCTTACATTTCTTTGAGTTTTCCTGTGCTCTCATACCCTTCATAGTTTATTCTGAGGGGTCTTGACAACCTTCAACTCCTAGAAACCTAAAAGAAAAGCATGAAAATGTAATAATTTCAGGGTTCGCAGGAACAGACAAGGGTAAACAAGAATGCATTTAGATCTTTTCTCAAAGTCTATCTATCATAAGGAGATACACACACATCAGTGTGGAATGTGTTCCAAAAGGGGGGAGCTGCCTGGAAGAAGACCATCTCATGAGGTCGCATGGGAGACAAACCCGTTGGTGACACCACCAAGAGGCCTCCAATGCTGGACTGATGCACTATAGCTGGCTTGGGATTTTTTAATGATAGGGGATTTTTTTAATGAACTTGCAGATTGTGTTATAATCTCCTCTTCTTCCTCTCCTTCTTCTTCACTGGCGGTGGTAGGGCTTGTTGTTATGGTTGTTGTTTTGTTATAAATTGGATGCGTGAATCATGAATAAATTGGATGAATGTTTGCTCATCATCATTTCAGATCCAGGACCCATCACTCCAAAATGAACTGTGGCTACAATTCCTCCTGCTGTTACCCAGCTGGCGGTCTGGGCTCGCTGAAACCAAGTTGTGGCTTTGGGGGTTTGGGGGGAAGTGGGGGCTTTTGGGGTTCAAGTGGTGGTGGAGTGTCATCAAGTAGCCTCGCTATAAATCCTGCTGCCAGTGTTGGTTGCATGACTCAGGTACCACCATCGCAAGTATGCATCAAGCCACCTCCATATTGTGTGACTATCCCAGGAGCAATACTCGCTGCCACGTGTGAGCCAGTTCGTGTGGGAGGATACACCGCCTGTGGTGGCACATCGTCTATGGGAGGAGGCCTGGGATACGGCTGCTCTGGATGCTATTCATGCTATTAAAGGGAGCACTCAGACCAGCAGAATGCCCTCACCAGCAACTGATGAACTCAGCATGGCTTCACGACTGATTATCTCATGGGCCTTGGTGCCAGAAGTGGCAAGCGTCCCCAGTTCAACCACCAAGTTTGCAGGATTCCCAGATGCTTGGCTCATCCATGCTTGCCTTACAAACATGCAACTGCTTCCTAGGATGTCTTGATCCCAGCCTCTTCTTCTTCTTCTGGGCTTTTGCTATGTATGGAATTTATCTCCAGCTAAGGGGCAATTTTTTTAATGCCTCCAACTTGTATTGCGCTCGAATGCTATAGAAACACAATACAACTCTGAATGTTTATGTACCATCTCTCTCATCAAGATCAGTGTTTGAATTACCTTACTGCAATGCCTGGAAGGCAATTCTTCCTTGGTTTCTGGAATGAAAATGTTCTGTCTTCCTCTTATGCATTAAACTTAGCTTCAGCATAGCACCTGTTCTCTGTGGGTTTCATTAATACTTGCCCCTCACTCCTGAGCTAACACCCAACTTTGATCCATAACCCTGAGAAACATGATACTATTTGTGGGTGGGTGGTGGGGTGGGTTATTTTACTCTGAAAGATAAATTGCACCACAAAATGTGGGAGGTTGGGAAAGAAAAAGATTGAGGTTGGGATGCGGGGGGACGGGGGACGGGACACATTCCAAATACCTCAGGGTTGTGTCGGAATTTTGTGGACAGGTTGTCAACTTGAATAAAATGTTTGGGGAGGTGTTTAAGCCCTGCCCCACATAATGGATCACATGACACGGTGCACGCACACCATTTGAATGGCAATGCCCATCAGCTTTCAGTTGGCAGACCCCTCAAATATTTTATGGGAGCCCCGAATACCCCCTGGCTCCAATAATAATAATAATTTATTATTTATACCCTGCTCATCTGGCTGGGTTTCCTGAGCCACTCTGGGTGGCTCCCAACAGAATATTAAAATACAATAGTCTGTCAAACATTAAAAGTTTCCCTAAACAGGCTTGCCTTCAGATGTCTTCTAAAAGTCTGGTAGTTGTTTTTCTCTTTAACATCTGATGGGAGGGTGTTCCGCAGGGAGGGTGCCACTACCGAGAAGGCCCTCTGCCTGGTTCCCTGTAACTTGGCTTTTCGCAGAGAGGGAAACGCCAGAAGACCCTCAGCGCTGGGCCTCAGTGTCCGGGCAGAACGATGGGGGTGGAGACACTCCTTCAGGTATACTGGACTGAGGCCTTTTAGGGCTTTAAAGGTCAGCACAACACTTTGAATTGTGCTCGGAAATGTACTCATCCTGGAATGTCCCACATTTCCTTAGGATGTTGTTAAAGTTTGTTGGGTCGTATATCTTTTGACCCACTGCGTCTGCTGCAAGGGCCCTGCATGTTCGCAGCTTTCTGCCTCTTAACAAAACGAAATGACCTTGCTAAGGTTCTCAGACAGACTGCTCTCCAGAGAGAGCTCAGATCAAAGGAGAAATGGATGGATCATGTGGGCAGTGCACCCAGTTGATAAGAACGCTCCTGGAGTGTTAACTCCTGAGAGGCCAGAACCACAACAGATGACACTCTTTTCATAGGAGAAATGTTGGAGGGTATGGAGAAATGTTGGAGGGTATGGAGCTCTGACCCCGAAGCTGTTTGATGGCAATCTTGTATAGGGAAGTTTTTAAAATGTTCAATGTTTTATTATGTTTTGTAGAGTGCCTGGGGCAGCCCAGTAAGATGTGTGGAGTATAAGAAGTAAAGTTTCATTATGGAATGGGACTTCCCTATATTCATCAGAGAAAAGATGGAGGGTATCTAACACCCATCCCTTCTCTATATCAGCATCTATTGCATAACTATTGATTTCTCTTTTATCCTGTGGTATTTTGTAAAGGTTGCATGAAAGCTTCCATACACAATAGGGTAATTTCCCCCAACTGAAATATAGAGAAGTACATATGCTCCCAGATTGCTGGCAATGAAACTGATTGAAAACAGTAAAACAAAGATGATCAAAATGATGAAGGAGAGGACTGGACAAAGGGGAAACCCCACAACACAAGCACTCAAGCAAGGGTTTCTCTTTACACACACAGAGAGAGGTGCCTGCATCATTTTCCACCAGCTGCTAGGAAGCTGGATAAATCCAGTCTGGGATAAAGTGCTGTGCAAGTATCACTGGGAACAAGGTTGCAAACTAATGGTATCAGCCTACAAAAATGGCTGATAAAGTGAGTCAGGGCATTGGAATACTTTCATTACTTTCCTCGGTATAATAGGGTCTATGTTTTGTAATACTTTTAGGTTTAACCATTATATCCATGCTATGAAGTGTTCCAATTCCTTCACTAATTTCCATGCATTCACATGCCTGTGGGCCATTTACCTGACAGGTGGTGATCCAGCCTCTGTTTAAAATCCTCCAGAAGTCCACTATATAGCTCTTACCATCAGAAATGCCTGATGGTCAGAATCTCATTTCTCCTCATTTGAATCTATTGGTTCTGGTCCTACACTCAGGAGGAGGAGAAAACAAGCTCGCTCCATCTTCCATGTGATGGAAGGAATTTCTATAGAAGTGACGAGTCTCTGAGAGATTTTGAACAGTAGACTGCACTGCTTTGCAATGTGGTGGACAGTCCTTCTCCTAGATGACCCCAAGGTCCCTTCTATCTCTACACTTCCATGGTTCTATGAATGACTACAAGTCTAATAAAAGGAAACATAATGGAACCACAACCAGTGGTGATACAGATAGGTGAGATTTATTGTAGTGGGAGGACAGTTGCATGACATAATGTATAAGTTAAGCAATTGTGGTCGCTGCCTGTTTGGAGGAGGCAGTGGTAAAACCACTCCTTAAGAAACCTGCCCTGGATTTGGAAAACCTAACTAACTATGGGCCAGTTGCTAATCTTCCTTTCCTGAGCAAGGTTCTGGAGCGAGTGGTCGCAGACCAGAACAAGGCGCTTTCGGAAGAAACTGCTTTTCTGGATCCATTTCAATAGAGGATTAGGAACAGTTTTGGCACAAAAACTGCTTTGGTTGCCTTGTATGATGTCCAGATAAGACTGAGACACTGTTAGTGGGTGGTTCCCTAGACCAGATGGGAGATTGAGAGGTCTGGAGGGTGGCAACTTGAGAACGGGGCCTTCTCTGTGGTGGCTCCCCATCTGTGGAATGCTCTCCCCAGGAAAGTTCACCTGGTGCCGTCATTATATACTTTTAGGCGCCAGCCAAAAATGTTCCATTTTAATGGAGCCTTTGGTTGATTTGATTGACATCCTATGCCCTTTAAAAATGTGTGGGGTGGGGTGGCGGTTATTTGGTTGTTGCTTTTATCTTGTTTATATATTTTGTGGTTTTATATTTTGATTTTGTTCTGTGAACAGCCTTGAGACCTCCTGGTATAAGGCAATATATAAATTCTAAATAATAATAATATTAATAATAAAACAAACAATGCATTGAAGTGTAAAATAATTAAAAGACTGTTTTAAGGTTGCCTGCTGTGATTTAATCAAAGGGATACAGAGAAAACAGAGCTTCTTGGGAATCTGGAAACATCATATTCAGAGATCCATCAATGAATGACAAGTGTATGTCATTCACACTTTGGTGTCCCACAAATTTTGGTCAAAGTACATTAGGTACAAGGGGAGAAAAAGGTCATATCCAAGAGAAAAGGGAGGAAAACAGAAAGATGCACTGAGCAGAGAGGTGTAGACCTGAGTGTCAGAGAGGCTAAGAGATCCTTGATCCAGTCCATTTGGGCTTGTCTAGAAGGGAAGACCCAGCATTTCTGACACCTGAGCCCATACAATCACCAGCCATTCATCCAACACATGCAATTCAGGGACCATTTCCCCCCTTTCCTCTGGGGATCATGTTCAGATTCAAAAGAGGAATAAGTTAATCCTTCTCTCAGTAAAGGAGCTGTCACCAGAGGGGTAGAGCGCTAGTTGTATTTCAGGCGAGATGTAGTGAACCCTGAATTTATTCACATAAAGTTGATGTTGGCTATTCTACCGAAAGAGCCTCTGTATATTTTAGACATTGTAGTAATTTGACCAGGAACAGGAAAAGGAAAAGGAACAGGAACAGGAACAGGAATGGGACGTAGCTGGATAGATATACCCATGTTCATCGATGGCATCTTGAACGGCAGCTGTTAATCTGAAAAAAAGGAGAGAAACACTTAGAATCATAGAATTTGATTATGTTTATAGATGACATTGTGGAAAGGCAGTTCTGAAAAAAGAGGGACATTAGTCCAACCCCCTGCAATGCAGAAAACTCAACTCAAGCATCCATGACAGATGGCCCTTGACATCCATATAAATAACAGAGGTAAGGAAAGAGTGAGAAAACACATAAAAAGAAAAAGAATTAACAAATCCCCCTAAAAAAGAGACAGTGAAACAGGACGTTAAGATATTACACAATTGCAGTGGCAAGTCCCCCGCCCCCCATGAGAAATAAAGACACAGGACACGGTATATAAGGTTAATGGGCGGAAAATGGCCACAACTTTATTGATTGCAGGAATTGAGCGGTATTGGCTTAGGCATTGGTCCTATCAGCTAACCGGCTTCAGCCCGATTGCATGAAGACCGATGAGACGAAAAAGACCAAATGGCAGGTGCCAATTCACCAAGTGAAAAAAATCCCTACCAGGCCCCTTGACGGTGACCAAACGAAGTCCATAGCAAGATCAGAGGAGCAACTAAAGGGCGGGCAGGGTGGGAAACCTGATCAGATGTAGAGGCAAGAGAGGGTGGACCTCGGGCTCGCCAGGCATAAATAGCCCGGGCCACGCCTCCCTGACCAGCTGATTGGCTATGCAGGGAGCTGACGCGCCCGAGGATTCCTCAATCTCGCGGGGGCTGGAAGCCAGCCCCCGCGATTGTGGGGAGGGTGTGGGCCCGCAACCCCACCTCCTCACCAGTTCGGAAGTGGCTTTTTCAATGATAATAAATCAGGAAATAGAGTGGAATATTGAATATATAAAACAGAAGCAATTAGAGGAAAAGGTAGGTGCCTGCATCACTACAGAGTATTGGTATTAGGTTACTGTCTCATTCTCTCTCTCTCTCTCTCTCTCTCTCTCTCTCTCTGTCACCTATCACAGCTTCCAAGAATTTGGTAAAAACCATTCAGAAACCAGAGGCCACCGAGAGCAAGTCTCAAAATCCACTGGAAAACCCAAGAGCTGACCTGTCTGAAGGTGTTGACAATGGGATGACATTTTAAAACGAGTAAAATGGAAAGAACACGTAATAGAATATCATCTGGGGAAGATACTAGAATCCTGTTAAGAAGTGGATGGAGAGTAGGAGCCAGATGGGGGAAAGGACATTTTAGAAGAAAACTGGCAATTGTATCCAATATATTATTTCCCTGATGATATTCCTCCAATAAGAGTGATGGACAAAAGTTCCTTTGGAAGATGGGGACGGGCTTCCTATTTCACAATACCTGGCTTTACTTATTCTATAGTGGCTGTAATTATGGAGATGAACTTCCAACGGAAAAGCATTTTTTTTTTATAAAAGAAAATCACACTGTGTGGGTTTTCTGGTGCCTGGTCAAATGTGAGTTCCGATTGAACCTTCTCCCACATTTGAGGCTCATGAAAAGTTTCTCCCCTGTGTGCATCCTCTGGTGTTTCTTAAGGCATGAGCTCTGACTGAAACATTTCCCACACTTGTAGGGCACTTGGAGGGCTTCTCTCAGAGTACAACTCCCATCATTCCTGGCTATTGGCTGTACCAACACAGTTACGGGGCACAAAATGTGCTAATTCCTTCTAAAGGCTTATTATGCTTATTAGTCAGTCAAGAGACTAGGAATGTTTTATTTGATCATTTAGCACCTACCCAGCAAATTGCTAATTAAACCATTGAAGGCCTTCCTCTTTCAATAAGAAGCTTTTGAAGTGGAATATGTTTTTAAGTATATGTGTTAGAAGCTGCCCAGAGTGGCTGGGGCAACCCAGCCAGATGGGCAGGGCTTAATTCTTATGATTCTTATGATTATGGTTATGGTTATCCCAGTCTGCACTACATGGGAACTATATTTTGACTGAGTTATATATGGAACTGTGTTTAATTGTTCTTACCCTTTTCTCATTTTATGGTTGTACCAGTTTTATTTTTATGTAATTGTATATTTTATTGTAATAACCCACCATGGGACCTTATAGCAAACGGCAGGTAAGGATTCAAATCAGATCAAATGAGCAATATTGGTAAAACCACAATGTAAGATTTTTGTTTCTCACAGTAAATGAGGCAGGAAGATTCTTTTAAGTCAGAGGGGAGAGATATTCACAAGCAGCTGTATTCATTAGCATGCGAATGAGAACATGAAAATTAAATTCTTTGTGTATTCTTTCATACAAAATTGCAAGAGAAGACTTTCAGTCAATTTCTGTACCCATCCTCCCATCCAAAAGAGAGAGATGGGAGTAGGATAAACCCATTGCTTCTTTCCCCCAATAACAACTAGTGGCTGTGTCCCTGCTGTCACCTGAAGGAGAGACGCCAATCATGTTTGCACAATATACAAACATGGATCAGAATAGAGCTGAGATGGCATTCACCAAACATGCCAAAATCTGAAATGATGCATCAATTACTGCAACCCAGAACCAATAATGATGAAAGCAACAATACACCAAGCATGAAAGAGCAACATCACAAACCAATTAGCAGGAACAGAGTGAATTTCCAAAACGAGCTGCTGCCTCCATCTCAAGCTGAACCACAACTGCAAATGAAAAACAACCCTTTTCCAATATAGCTCATGAAATCCCCACAGATAATATGAATGTGTAATGATTTTGGCCAGCATACACTTGGCAATTTTGGTTCTTCAGGAATGACTCAGTACCTCTTTTTTTTTTTTAAATGATATTTATTAAAGTTTCACAAAATACAGAAAACAAAGAAAAAAGTATAAATTACAGCAAAAAAGTAAAAAGTAAGAAAAAACATACAAAATAAAACAGTTAAAAACACAATAATGTTCCATAACCTATCTTCCTTAATCATATTTACCCAGACCTCCTCGTACCTCCCTTCTTTGTATTCCAATTCAGTTTGTTGGTTCAGCAAATCCTTACCATTAATCTTTTACCCAATTGTTAACCTTTTTTTTCATGTCTCTTAAAGCATTACAGCTAAAAACCTCTTAATTTCTATCCAACATCCTTCTAAAGTTCCTTAATTTTACAATATTTCTGTAAATAGTCCTTAAATTTTTTCCAGTCTTCTTTCACCGACTCTTCTCCCTGGTCTCGGATTCTGCCAGTCATTTCCGCCAATTCCATGTAGTCAATCACCTTCATCTGCCATTCTTCCAAAGTGGGTAGATCTTGTGTCTTCCAATACTTTGCGATAAGTATTCTTGCTGCTGTTGTAGCATACATGAAAAAGGTTCTGTCCTTCTTTGGCACCAGTTGGTCGACAATGCCCAAGAGAAAGGCCTCTGGTTTCTTCAGAAAGGTATATTTAAATACCTTTTTCAGTTCATTATATATCATTTCCCAGAAAGCCTTAATCTTTGGGCACGTCCACCAAAGGTGAAAGAATGTACCTTCAGTTTCTTTACATTTCCAACATTTATTATCGGGCAAATGATAAATTTTTGCAAGCTTGACTGGGGTCATGTACCACCTGTATATCATTTTCATAATATTCTCTCTTAAGGCATTACATGCCGTAAACTTCATACCTGTGGTCCATAACTGTTCCCAGTCAGTGAACATAATGTTATGTCCAACATCTTGTGCCCATTTAATCATAGCAGATTTCACCGTTTCATCCTGAGTATTCCATTTCAACAGCAAGTTATACATTCTTGACAAATTTTTAGTTTTGGGTTCTAACAATTCTGTTTCTAATTTTGACTTTTCCACTTGGAAGCCTATTTTCTTATCCAAGTTATATGCCTCCATTATCTGATAGTAGTGGAGCCAATCTCTCACTTTATTTTTTAATTTTTCAAAACTCTGCAGTCTCAATTTATCTCCTTCTTGCTCCAAAATTTCCCAATATTGGATTGGGAAAATAGCACATGAAATACCCTCAGATAATATGAATGTGTAATCATTTTGGCCAGCATACACATAGCAATTCTAGTTTTTCAGGAATGACTCAGTACCTCAAGGCTCCTAAGTGGCTGTAACACCCATCCCTTCCCTATATCAGCATCTATTTCATAATCATTTATTTCTCTTTTATCCTATGTTATTTTGTAAAGGTTGCATGAAAGCTTCCATCCACAATAGGGTCATTTTCCCCAAATGAAAAATACAGAAGTATACATGGTCACAACATTGAGATTGCTGGCAATGAAACTGATTTAATATTTTGTCAGCATGTATCATAGGCAAGCCTCCTGGAGAAACGCTGGTTGACACTGAAATTGCCCCCCCCCCCCAATGTACAGCTCCACTGATTCTTTGTGATCGGTTCCAGTCTGGCTGGCAGATAGTGGCCCTGAACTCTCTGCAGAAATTGGGCCGTGCTCCTCAAGCCATCTTAAATTTGGGATTGGATCAAGCAAGATCCGTGGTCAGGCAAATAATTATGGACATAGAGAGACATCAGGACTGCTTGAGGTCCCCTGATGACATAATTGCAGAACACGAGAGATATTGCTGTTCCGGCAGCATATTTCCCTTTCCTCATATCCAGTGATGTATTCTGCCTGCAGATGAGCAGAGGTGATTAATTCACATTTTCATGAGCGAGCTATGTTGATCAAGAAGATGAATAAATCCACTTTGTCTCAATTTTGGAATACCCGTTTCTTTTCCCCCAGCTAGAGCTAAAAATATTTTCCGATTATGAAGTTATTGTCCTTTAAATAGGCCATGGGTTGTTTTCTGCTTTCTAAAGAAGAGATATGCTTATGGTACATAGTATGGAGTTTATTTCCCCACAGGCTCTGCATTGGTACTGTCCAATTCCCAGTTCCATTATGCGGCTTTAATCCTACTTTGTGTTGGTAGCTCTGAGTTCCAGGGGAAGCAGCCTGATGCAGGCTTTCGGCTCCTCTTTGCTTATGGGACAGCTTTTCCCATCAGCCACATCACACAGACAAGATACTGGGAAAACTTTGCCCAGTATTCTGATGCAGTCTGTGGGTCACCAGGCAAAGACATCCCACACTTAATGGGCATGGAACGGTTCTTGCAGCAGACTATTCTGCTTTTGTAGAATACAGCAGTTCAGTATTCCATGAGCTGTACTGTTTTAAGGGTGCTCAAAACAGGGAGGGAAGCCATGACTGCTGAAAGTTGTATCATAGTGTGTCTAATCTATGCTGCAATTTTGCTCTGAGGACAATAATAGACATAGGCAGACGTAACAGTTAGCCCAGTGTACTGGATCAGTGCAAGGAAAAAGTGTGGGTGTTGATGTTGGAGTGAGGAGAAAACATGAAAGAAACCCACAGAGAACAGGTTCTATGCTGAAACTAAGTTTAATGGGAAAGAAGAAGTCAGAGGACATTTTACATTCCAGAAACAGAGGAAGAACAACCTTGAAGGCTTTGCAGTAATTCAGATGTTGATACTGATTACAAAGATCATACATGCACATTCAGAGTTGTTTCATGTTTCGAGTGGAATACAAGTTGGAAGCATTAAAAAAATGCCCCTTAGGTGGAGATAAATTCCATAGCAAAAGCACAGAAGAAGAAGAAATTCACAGTGAATAGAGGTTGGGATCAACACATCCTAGGAAACAGCCTCACATTTGTAAGAAAAACATGGATGAGCCACTTAAAGACCTCTGCCCTCCTCATCCCTGTTTCCTTTAGTGCTGTGCTTTTTAGGTTTCAAGCCTGTGAGCAGAAAATGAGCATTTGAAAGATCTTCTTGGAGGCTTTTGTAGAAATGTAGGTTAAATACACTTTGAAGAAACAAATGACAATAAGCTCATTTTCCAGAATTCTGAATATATGTGATAGATTCATAGACTATATATTGCATTAAATAAAACTGCATGTTGAATCTCTGGCATCTCAAGGTAGGCCCTGCATGAAAGGGCCCTGCATGAATCGTGGGACAGCCACCACCAGTCCATGTGGACCAGGAATTGGGGGGGGGGCATCTTTGGCCCTCCAGATGCTGTTGGACTCCAACACCCAGCTGGCACAGCCAATGGCCAAGAATGATGGGAGTTGTAGTCCAGCATCTCTGGGAGGAACATAGATATTCCCCATCCCTTCCTACATATCTAATTCTCCCAAGTGCCCTAGGAAATGAGAAAGAAGATGAGCAAGGAGAGGCAGGCCAAGGTTCAAAGAAGGAGACAAAGAGAGTGAAGTTTGGACAGGAATAGGCAGCAAAAGGCATGGGGTTTTCTCACTTACCAAGGTCTCAAGAGAAGTACTCAGGTGAAGGTGAGGGGAGCTCTTGTTCGAGTCATGGGCGGCAAGTCCTTTTATATGTTTCCATGACTGCAAGTCCCTCCCTTGTGAAGTAAAACTGCCTTCAGGTGTCCTACCCTCAAAGGCCCCGAATATTTATTGGAACTGAACTTCATCCAGCTATCCCTGAACCACCCTGTATTCATTAGCATGTGCTTTATAAAATTCCATTCCCGTTTTATTATCCTCCTATTCACTCCTGTGGTTATGTAATACACTTATAAAAATTAGTGCCCTACCTCCCTTCATAAGGAAACTATTCCCTTCAAGGCTGTAAGCCCTCTGTCCACTGAATTCCAGAGATAAGTGTAATCCCCATCTTTCCAGTCTGCAGCTTTATCTGATTCTTTTAGAATCCGTTTTAACTTTCCCGTATAATCCCTATATATGTTTGCTTTAAACAAAGCCCTCTAAATTGAATTCAGGGGACATCAGCCTCAAAGGGAGCTTTCTTGTGTAGTCTGGCCGTTGGTCCTTCTAGCTCAGTATTAGCCTCCCCTTTCTGGCTGGGAAGTGGAGGATTCTATCCTGATTGGGGGTCTATTCCACAGTGTGTGTTTCTGGCTGACACTCTACTTCCTGATTCATAGGTATCTCGGTTTCTGAGCATCTCAAAAGTCAAACGTTTAGGTTTTCTAATGCCGAAAACCTGGAACTGCTTCAGTTTTCGAATACTTTTCGGAAGTCGAACTGGCCACACGACTTCCATATTGAGTTTCCCATAATTAAATGCTTCCGGAAGAAAATGCTTCAGTTATCTAACGTTTTGGAACTCAAACAGTTTTCCGGAATGGATTGCGTTCGGAAACTGAGGTACCATTGTAGCCCTTGATCTTTCTGCTTGGGCTCCCAGTGTGTTCCAGTGAATTTCAGGAAGAAGAGTTGGTTAGAAACCAGCCTAGAACTCTGGCTGTTTGCTTGCCTGCCCAAATTAGAAAAAATACTGCCCTGCTTGTACTTTTTGAATTTGATCATTGTGGGTTGCATATCTTTCATTGGTTAAATTAATAAATATATCCTTTTCACCTTCACTTTGTCTCATGAGGCTTCATTGTAAAGGGGCGGGTTAAATTTGACAAATACCTAAACAAAACAAAACAAACACTGAATGACTTTTGGAAAGTGAGCTAGGGAATGAGAAAAAGAGAGTCTGACATTGAAATATTTTGACCATATTTTCATAGACATTGCAAGAAAAGACTTTCAGTTAATGTCTTTACCCATCCTCACATCCAACAGAGAGAGATGGGAGTAGGATAACCTCATTGCTACTTTCCCCCAATAACAACTAGTGGCTGTGCCCCTGCTCTCACCTGAAGGAGAGACGCCAATCATGTTTTGCACATTATACAAACATGGATCAGAATAGAGCTGAGATGACATACACCAAACATGCCAAAATCTGAAATGATGCATCAATCATTTTGGCTCAAAACCAGTAATGAAAGCAAGAATACTTCTAGCTAATTAAAAAGAACACTGAAGCTCACAAAATGTGGTACAAAATTATTTTGTCATAGAAACACCCATTATTGCAACTCAGAACCATGCCGATGAAAGCAACATTACATCAAGCATGACGGGAACAACATTGCAAACCAATTAGCAGGAACAAAGTGAACTTCCAAAATGAGCTGCTGGCTCCATCTCAAGCTTAACCACAACTGCATGTGAGAGAGAACTTTTTTGAGTATAGCACATGAAATACCTGCAGAGAGAAATGGTGTGAACATTAATATGAATGTGTAATCATTTTGCCAGGATACACATAACAATTTTGATTCTCCAGGACTGACACAGTACCTCAAAGCTCCTAAGTGGAATTTAGAGGAGGCTGACGTCATGGAATCTGGATGACCGAATAGTCTCCCATGCCCTCCAAAAAGCCCTGCAGCATGGGAGGTTTGCATTGGCTAAGCCATCCTTTCTCCTCCATGATCTAGCAGCAGTGGTGCAAAAACCCTGCAGGAGATGCCAAACAAGTACAATCAGTATAGAAATCGCAATGGGCCACTGCTCATCTTGGCAGGCACCAGCACTCCACCATGGCCAACATTGGCTTCTTGGTTGTTGTTTTTCAAATTAAACTTCCAAAGCACTAATCAAATGGAGTGGAAACCAACCCACAAGGCAATTAACAAATTCAAGAAGTCATTCCAAATGAGGTTCATAAAATCAAATTAAAAGAGCGCTGTGGGGATGTGATTGATGGGACTGTTTCAGAGCTGAGTGCCCAAAATAGCAAATACCCAGGAAGTGTAGCCAGATTGCAAATAGCAATTAGTTCTCTAGGACTGACTCAAACTTGGTAGTGGTGAATGAAACTGTATAAAAGGGCTCCCCACATACGTTTTTCCCCACTAATGTGAGTAGCCAACCCTTGTCTCCAGCTCCTGTGTTTTCTCCTGCTCTTGGTATGTCTCCTTTTCAATTAAACCTTGTTGGAGAGGACATCTCTTCTTGGAATGGGTTATTGTGCTTTTGACTTCATATGTTAATAGTTGGCATTTATGTTTGAGTTGGGACTGGGGAATGGTACATAATATTTTTACCATCTTGAGTTTCTATCAGTAATTAGCTGAGATGGAAGTTTTTACAGTAAACAGGGAGCTGCATGACTTGCAGATTTTGATCAAAACTCAACACAGGCATTGTTAAAGAGAAACCAAAGGAATTTGATTGAAGGGTGATTCTCATTCGTATGACTTGTGGCTCAGGGTTGAAACACAACTTTTGCGGTTTCCATAGGTTTATAAGAAAATACAATAAGACAACTGAACAGAACCATAACACCACACCCTCCAAGTGTCCCTATTTTCCAGGGACATCCCTGATTTAGAGAAGCTGTCCCAGTTTCTGATTTGATCCTGGAATGTCCCACATTTCCTTAGAATGTTCCTATTTTAATAGAATGATGATCTAGCAAATAGGATGAAGGAGAGGACTAGACAAAGGGGGAAACCCCACAACACAAGCACTCAAGCAAGGGTTTCTCTTTACACACACAGAGAGACATGAAGACCCAACCACCTTTGCAGCAGGCAGGCTTGGTCTGGAGAGACGGGGTGATTCCTGCCCTCCGCAGAGAATGTTGCAAGTTGAAGACCCTTCCTTTCTCCCATAGGGGGAGTCATCCCTATCAGGAATGGCACCCCCCTCCATCTGGTAAATAACCAAACACTACATGACATAAAAGTCATCATTTCCCTCCTTTTCTGGGTGGAGGTTTTGTCAAGTTACAATCTGAAATATCTGGAGGGCTGCAGACTGGGGGTTTCTGAGTTAAGCAAAGATATAGACAAAGAGTTGGTGGGCTCTGTTGGTCCTGCGTGTTTATTACAATGAGAGTAAAGGAGACCAGGAGACAAATAGTTGCAGGGCAACTTCCTAAAGCTCCACCCATAAAAGCGAATTATTTGAGGATGAAAGAAATTGTAGTGCCAAGAACACAAAGACATCATGAGTAAATATGAGTAACTGAAAGGATTAATAATAGTAGGACAATTTGTTCGGTCTAATAATAGAAATAGAACAGAGGGAGACTTCCTTATGCATGAAGCTTCCATGGGCTTTCAAGCTAATCTTGCTTCTCTCTCTCTCATTCTCTTTCTGTGTCCCTGTGATTTTGGACTCAGCACACTAATAGATATGCTCAGACACAGGAGCCTTGGTCACTTGGGATGGCCTGCCTGCAGATGAACAGAGGTGTTTAATTCACATTTTCAGGAGTGAGACATTGTAGCACCCTGCTTGTGGTTAACGCTTAGCTGGAATGAAATATTCAACGCAGCAATAGAGAAATTAAAATAATAATTTCTTTGTCAGACAAATAAATGAGAGACACAGTGGTATATGGATACCAAAGCTCTGCCCCCTCCAGCCCTGATGGCCAGCACTTATATTTCCTCAGCCCAGCCCCTTGCTCCTCCTTTGGCTGCCTCTGTCCAATCAGCCTGGTTGAAATTCCTATTGGCTGTTTGCTAGAACCAATCATAAAAGATACACCCATTTCCTATTACCTTTTATGGGAGACAAAGAGCTATATTTCCTTCTATCCATAAATGGCAGACAAGTAGCCATATATCTTATATTTGCCTCTTCTAGGGACCTTAATTTCCAGATATCGTTTTTGCCCTATTGCCCTACTACCCTATTGCCCTTCACTCCAAAACAGATGGCTAAAACAGATGGCTCATGGTAACAGAGATCTTGGGTTCACCTTCTCACACACCATCAATGAAATAAGAATCTAACATAAGAATCTAACATTTCTTACTTTCTAGATCCTTTGCATAATTACATTTAAGCCAATATATTTCATACATTAACATATGTAGCTTTTAAAAGGAAAGGAACTTAGTAAAAACAGTTTCCAAAAGCAACCCCTTAAATTTACACCCCCCTTTCAAGCCAGCTGCTGTTCTTATTAGCTCTTGCCCTTTAACCTTATGAAAATATGGCTCAAGTCTATTGGGAGGCACCTAGTATTATTTTCTGTTAAACAATAAATCTCACTATTTACCAACTCTTAATTGTGTTTTTGCAGCTTGATTGTATTCTGTAATTTGTATGGTCAGTATGACCTTTTGCTCCCAGCCTGTAATTTCCTTTTACAACTTTGAGAAACGTGTCTCCTGTTATAAATCGGGGGGGGGGCTGTTCAAGGAGATAAACATCTGCCAAAGTACTTAGCCAGCTGGTTTCTGCCTGGCTTGAAAGATACAAACATTTACAAATATATTTTTTAAGCTCATTTTAAAATACAAGCCTTGATCAGATGCCTCATTCCCCCCTTTCAAGCTCAAGTACCTTCAGCCCAAGTGTCCTTGATAGCTTGACCTTCATCATATTCCTGAGGTAAAGCTCTGTATAGGGCCATGATATGAGGTAGAGTTTCATTTGAAATCATCTTGCTAATTGTACTTCTAAAACATGAAATGATACATGGCACCATACATAAAACCATTACTACTACCATCAAGAAAAACAAGCAAGACAATAGTGTCCCTTTGAGTCCCGCAACATTAGGTAACCAATTGGTGAGCCATCCCATATCCCATCCTTCCCATATTTGTACTGGGACATGTGCTATACTCTCCATCTTTGTGGCCAACACACGGATTGCCTCACCATTATCAGAAATGTTAAAGCAACAGGCATTCCCTGTCAAGTTCAAGACTCCACATAGGCCTCCCTGCCTGGCAAGTACATAATCCATTCCCATTTTCAGCTGCAAAATGGCGGCTCTACTTTCATCCAACTGTTGTGCAATAAGTCTCAAACTCTGGGCCGTTGCATTGGTTACAAGTTCCGCTACTGCTTGCAATCGAATTATTCTGTTTAGATGATAAATAGGATCCCGTGCCCCTTGTATGAGCTCATCAGGATTCCAGGAGGCAGGATCATAATAGGCTATAATGCGCTCTGGTGGCCAATCATCAGTATCGCTCCAACTTTGGGTACTTCCTCCTGCTATATGAGAAATATCAGCGTTTCGGCCGAAATATTGGGAAATTTTGGGACAAGAGGGAGATAGACTGAAATTGCAGAGTTTTGAGAAATTAAAAAACAAAGTGCGAGACTGGCTTCATTATTATCAGATAATGGAGGCATACAATTTGGACAAGAAAATTGGCTTCCAGGTGGAAAAATCAAAACTAGAAACAGAACTGTTGGAACCCAAAACTAAGATTTGGTCAAAGATGTATAACTTGCTGTTGAAATGGAATACACAGGATGAAACGGTGAAATCTGCTATGATTAAATGGGCACAAGATGTTGGACATAACATAATGATGGCTGACTGGGAACAGTTATGGACCACAGGTATGAAGTTCACGGCATGTAATGCCTTAAGAGAGAATATTATGAAAATGATATACAGGTGGTACATGACACCAGTCAAGCTTGCAAAAATCCATCATTTGCCCGACAATAAATGTTGGAAATGTAAAGAAACTGAAGGTACATTCTTTCACCTTTGGTGGACGTGCCCAAGGATTAAGGCTTTCTGGGAGATGATTTATAATGAAATGAAAAGGGTATGTAAGTATACCTTTCTGAAGAAACCAGAGGCCTTTCTCCTGGGCATGGTCGGCCAAATGGTGCCAAAGAAGGACAGAACTTTCTTTATGTATGCTACAACAGCAGCAAGAATATTTATCGCAAAGTACTGGAAGACAAGATCTACCCACTCTGGAAGAATGGCAGATGAAGGTGATGGACTACATGGAATTGGCGGAAATGACTGGCAGAATCCGAGACCAGGGTGAAGAGTCGGTGGAAGAAGATTGGAAGAAATTTAAAGACTATTTACAGAAATATTGTAAAATTAATGAATGTTAGAATGATGTCAGAATGAAATTAAGTGGTTCTAGCAGCAATGTCATAAAGGTGTATGAAAAAATGGCTGGTTAATAGGTGAGAATTTAAAGCTATAATATATTAAGTTAAAGGACTAAGACAAAAACAAAGAGGGAAAGGAATTGCTGAATTAACCAATTGAACCGGAATACAAAAAAGGGAGGTGAGAGGAGGTCAGGAAAGCAAGGAAATGAAATGTGAGATACGGAAGGATAAATGTGTTTCTAAGTGTTTTTTCTATATATTTTTTTATATATACTTTGCATTTTGTATGTTTTTTCTCTTTTTCTTTTTTTCTATATTTTTCATTGTCTTTTATGTAATTTTTTGTTTTTGAAATCTCAATAAATATCATTTAAAAAAAAAAAAAGAGAAATATCAGCGTTTATTCGCGTACGCTTGGCCGAACTAGTGGGCATAATCCACATTGGTGGTAATACCCATCCCAGGAAACAAGTCCCACTCCATTTGGAAGGGAGTTGCTTGTATGCCCATTCTCCACATATCCACCACAACCATCGGGTCTGAGGTTTTTGGTACGTGGAGTGCATAAGGCGAAATATCAAAAGGGGTATAGAGTTCACAGTGCAGTATGTTAGATTGCCTTTTGCTGTCACAGTTATGTTCCACACCATTTTCCATGCATGAATAAAAGGAGGTGCACAGGGCAAGGTATTCCGAGTTTGATAGGTAGTACTGTTTGCCCAGGTTTGACTATTCTTAATATAATCCCAAGTATAGTGGCAATGAGAAGAGCCTACCATGGTAGAATCAGCTGTATCTAATGATTTACGTACACAGAATTCCCCTTGCACAGGTATAACTCATATTGGTTTAGTTGAGTTCCATCTGGGGAAATTCTGTACTTCTGTTTGGTGTGGCATTTCACTTACCATACCAATGGCATTTAATGGTATCAGTAATAAGGGCATACCTCCCTCTGAATCATCTGGTCCAAGAGAGCAAACAAGGCAATTGGTCCTATTTGTAACATTGGCTACCATCTCAGCTAAGCCTACCCACATATTGTGGTCATGGCGGAATCCATATTTAGCAAATTTGGTCAGATTCAAGGACCCTTCCCCTTCCCAAGGGATCAGGATTAATAATAAAATCATGCTGATGTCTAGTATATGCATTCCTTCCACAAAAGATTACCTTATTGTGATAACAAAAAAATATTAGCCCCAATATAATTCCCCCAGTGACAGAAATGGGGAACCACCAAGACCAAAACATATATACCGAGGATCCCCAATGAGTAATATCCCTGATAATTGTTCCACAAGGGGGGGCAGTCAATCAATTGTATAAGAGAATCTTCCCGTTCACAACCGCTGGTTCAGACGCTCCTCAAGCTTCAGGCGTGCGCAGGTCAGCCAGCTTCCAGGTTGTGGCTGCAGCAGGCCGGTCGTCTAATGTTGCCCGTGACCTAGCCTGTTCCCTGTAGGGCTACATACAGGGTTTTTTGGAGAGAGTCAGTTTAAAAGGATTAGAGGGGTCACCTTTACACGTCCAACTGCCTTCAGACTTCTTCAAACGGGAGTGATGAATCCAGGAGGTCACCTCAGCTACCTTCACCACTGTTGGAATAGAGAGCAAGATGGTGTAAGGCCCACGCCACTTAGGTGCAAGTGGATCACGTTTCTACTCTTTCACCCATATGCTATCGCCAGCCTGGAACTGATGAATCGGCTCGGCAATGCTGCACGGCGTGCGCTCGAGGGCCCACCTGTTAAGAGAAACAAACAAACAAAACAAAAAAAAAACACGGGAGAGAGATTGCACTTGTCCCTGTGTCACATGGTCTCCTATTTGTTTGAGGTCAGCTGGAATATCCTGAACAAAGGAGGGCGGCCTCCCATACAGGAGCTCAAAAGGTGACAACTTAAGTCCTTTTGTGGGTGCGCACCGAACACGAAACAGTGTTATGGGTAACACATCACTGCTGTGGCCAGCATTACCATCTTTTCCTTCTGCCACTTCTTCCTCTCTTGTTTCTCAGCCTCATCCCTATTCCAATAAACTCGGCGTGCAATGGCCATAATTTGGCTCATCAGCATCCCTTCCCATCCTTCTGATTTCTGAATTTTCTTACGAATGTCAGAAGTGCACTGGGCCACAAATGTAGCAGTAATCATTCTGCTGTTTTCAGGGGCTTCAGGGTCAAAAGGAGTCCATATTCGATAGGCTTCCTGCAGCCTCTCTAAAAAGTCTCCCGGACTCTCATTTGGTTTCTGTTCTACTTCTGAGACTTTAGACATATTAGTGGGCTTCTGGCATGCCATGCGGATACCTTGCACAAGAGTCTGGCGGTAGGTGGTAAGCCTGGCCAGGTGAATTGCATTGTTTGGATCCCAATTAGGATCTTCCAAGGGAAAGTTGTCCTGGAGATGACGGTCAATATTAAAAATATTTCCCACTCTGGCCTGCTCACGCAAATATATCTGTGCCTTTTTAATTATGTCTCTCCTTTCCTCAGTGGTGAACAGAGTATTCAGGAGCTGGCAGCAATCTGTCCAAGTAGGACTATGAGTATTTACTATTGAAGTCACCAAGTCCATCATAGCCTGAGGTTTTTCTGCGAAAGACGGGGTGGGTGTTTTCCAATTCATCAGATCCGTAGTCGTGAATGGAATGTACTGGAGGGTCGAAGTTCGAGGTGGCCGTGGTCCGGGTTGCCCGTTAACCAGCACAGGCTCCTCAAGTGCATCAAATACTCTTCTGAGAAGGGCTACTACGTGACCTTTCTCTTCGCTTTGCTCTAGGGGCCTCAAATCATAGGGGATGGTATCTGTCCCAAGGCGTTCTTTTAGCAGCTTTATGCGCCTGGCTGTATAGCTTGCTGACCGATCAAGGTCTCCCTGTAACTTCTGTAATAGTTCTCTAGGACTTGGATGTACAGGGGTTTGGGGTGGGCAATCAGTTGTTCCACTAAAGGAGACTGTAGATGGAGGTCTACTGGGACTCACAGGTGGAACAACCACTTCTGCTTGGGCTTTATTATAGGACTCCAATGCCTCCTGAAGATATTTATCACAATCTATCAAGGAATCAAGCTCTGTGACTTCAGCTCCATTACAACTGGTGGAGTGTTTGGATTAGGCTCCCCTCGACGTGGCGCATAGGGTGGAGGTGGAAGCACCTCTTCCTCTGGTCCCTCAAAAATGGGTTTGAGTTTATTTGACAAGATTCCTTTCCTAGCTTCGGCTTTTACAGCCAATAATTTGCATCATTGGACTTTGCATTCCCTTATCCATGGAGGATTATTATTTAATGTGCTCAGCCAAGAGTCTATATATGAAAATTGTTCTGGGCACCATCCAGCTTCTTTGGTGATGTTGGACCAAAGTTTGCTTGCTAAATTTATATCAAAAGTTCCTTGGGGCGGCCATCCAGTATTTTGTTTCGGCCAGTCTAGTTCACATAACGTTCTCAAGCGCTCTGGCATCATTTTGACTCCATATGCCCCTGAGAAGGCTTTCTTAAAATTATTTAACATACATTCAAGAGTTGTATTTTCCCCCTTTGAACCTCCAACTCCCATTGTATGGCCCTGTGAAGTATCCACTCAGTCACTCACACACTCGCTTCGTGGGGTTCCTTG